TATATATATATATATATACATGCTCGTATATATATATAAAACGTTTCTTATGTCACTTATGAATCATCCTATATTTGATAATATCGCTATAATGATACGTGCTTCTGGTTGATATCTTAATGATGGATCTCGCTACATAAAAATTGCATTTTACATGAAAAACGTTTTCTAGCACGATAGAATTTCTAGCACGAGAATTTCTTGATACAATGTAAAAGATCGTACACACTAGAAACAAAACTTTGATGTATATATGTATATAAGAGACACTGACTGATTATTATTTTAAAAAATATAAAATTGAACAAATCACATATTAATGCAACAGTAAATTTTTGTCACATTAATAATTAACACTGTTAAACAAACGATTTAATTATGCAATTTCTTTCAACAATCGCAACTTAACATTTATTTTACTCGTCCAAGCGTCATTTTGTGCACTCAGGCATTTTCTTTCTTAATATAGTCAGCTTAATGAAAACTTTTGAAGCAACAGAGCGTAAGACTAGGATTATCGATATTGACCTATTTATGTTATTATAATCAGGAAAATAAACAACTCGACTTGATAGAAATCCAATTAAAATTTCTAAATATAGTTATTTAGAAACTTACATTAATTTTATAAATCAAGTTCACATTTTTTAAAAGGGGATTCGTATGATTACGTTAAAGACGAAAGCGACTATATTTCAGTAAAAGAAATAATACAGACATAGTTTCACTTCTTCAGAATTCATGGAATCATGGTAAAAATCGAAATTTTCCAGCCTATTTTCAATGACACATGCAGAAAATTTCCATATTTTCAAAAAATTTTGTATTACAAATTAATTTTCTATATTTCAAATATATAGTAATAAAAATAACACCAAAATAGAGAATTATGTCCATTTATGTTTCTTTCCTTGAAATAAATTTTCGCAAATTTTTTTCGCTTTCAATTTAATCAGAAATCTCTTGTCTCCTTTTAAGACAAAAGTTGAATTGGTTTAGTAAGCACCACAAATTTGTTATTTCACGTAGAAATTTATATCATAACATTTCCGAATCTATATTACTTATCATGAGAGTGCGCACGATTTTTCTCGAAAAGTTTTCTCTGAAATTTTCAGACTTTTATTGGATTTCTCTGAAAATATTATACGTGCATTTCGATTTGGGGTGAGTTCCACTTGACGGTCGCAATGCTCATAGAATCATTTCATCTTTGTTATTTCAAATGTTAAACAAACAAATTTAAAACTCGCGAGTGCTAAATGGAGCGTAATGTCGTCAGAGTTAAGGATTATTTATATTGGCCGTAATCTGTAAGAATTGATCAATTGTAATCGATTATTTCCCTCTCATTCGACTGTGATTGGTTTATTCTTACAGATTACGGTCAGTATAAATAATCTTTCTTTATGTGAAAGGAAAGTGTTCGAAGAACAAAATGTTCGTAGTTGTTTAATAGTGATGGCATTAGTAAGTTTTATTCTAGGTTAAAAAAAATCTCTATAATAAGAGTATAGATACCGTATGTTTAATTTTTGATCGATAAATAAATATACAACAAATAAAAATTAAAGTCTATAATGGTCGAAGCTGGATCTTAGATATTTAAATAATTTCTATATGGATTTATATACATATGTAGTCATTGCGCGCCGAATTGATTTTCCGGACTTAAAAACGCAACTGAACTACTATAGTGATATGATATTACAAATTAAATTGATAAGCAATTTAATAATTTGATGCTCAATCAGACATCCTGTTAAAGAGATGTTAATGTGCTGAAAATCTGTAAATAAATTTAATGTGGAAAATATTCGGCCGGGAATCGAATTCGAATCTCTTACATTCTATACGAACCTTTTAAGCCTTTAGATCACCGAGGTCTTAGTAATATTCTTCGTAGTAATTAGTATATGTGTGAAAAAAAAATGTTTTTATTTCAGGCAACGTGATATAATCAATAAGAATCTTATTAGACTGTATGTACGAGTATATGTGAATACATAATCAATAGGAAATAAAGCCCATAACGATCGAAACTGCATCTTTTAATAAACACATACTAAATAAATGCAATTTAATGCATATAATGTACTTTTAAAATATAACTTTAAATTTTAATGTACTTGGCTTCTTTCTGCGGACAATGCTCTTGTGCCACTGAATGTACCGAGTATTTTTTTCAAACAATTATTTTACATCCGATATCGAAAATGTGTGTAAAGGTATCGCCAGTCAAGAAAGGTAGCCACGTTAATGATACATATCGATTATTCGTATCGCTCATGATTTAAGGATTAATCAACAGATTAATCCTGTATAAAAAAAAGTTTTTATTGTTAATATCCTCCAATATTAAACGTGTCGCTCTATACATATATTCGACGACACCCGATCAGTTGCGGGCGTAACGAATAAATTGTGCTCAATTGCGATCACGCCGTGTCCGTTGCGCAATGACCGTGACATTAACTTCGTCATTGTACTGCGCTTAATTGCGCCGTAATGCTCTGTTACCTATTCACAGTAACGTATGCACGCTGACTTCTGGTCATCTAGCTTAGATTGTTTTTTAAGAGTTTTTAATTACTCAATTGTGTATTCACATTTGCGGTCTTAAAAAAGTTTATTCTTCTTTTGTGAAATTTAGCAAACTGTTATTCTAAAAACTGTTATCAAATATATTAAAGAATCAATATAAGAGAAAACATTTATACACACACACACACACACACACACACACACACACACATACACACATACACACAGAGTGTTTTATTTTAATCTCCCCAGGCTAAATTCGAAAAGAACACGTGAAATTGAAAGAGTTTCAGACAAAAGTCATGTGACTTCGAGGGTAATACAAGATGGTACATCCACATGGATTTGATCTTGGATGTCAAAGTTAGAGCAAGGACATTTTGAATTTTTTAAATGGAACCCGCGATTTTTCATATTCTTGTAGCATATCTCGAGAGAGAAAAATACTCAATGAAAAAATATTTTATTACAATGTTTTAAAAAGCTTTATAAAACTGAAATAAACTACGAGAATATGTAATGAAAAATGGAGGGTCCATTTAAAAAATTCACAATGTTCTTCCTCGACTTTGAGCAGGTCAAATCAAAATCAAATCATTGGTATCATCTTATGATCTTATATTCCACTCAAAGTCACATAACTTTTGTTTGAAACTTTTTTAAATCTTCCGTATCATTTTTGAGATATTTTAATGCATCATTTAAAATGAAACACTTGATATATACACATACACACACACGCACACACACACACACACACACACACACACACACATACTCACACACATAAAAATAAATATTTAATATATATATAAATAAATATTTAATATATATATATATATATATATATATAATATATTTGTTTTTATTTTTAGACTAAAATTATAGGGTTGATTTTTAAGTCGATAAAAAAGATACCAGATTTAGATGAAAAAAAAAATAAAATAAAATCCTTGTGATTTGGCCAACTTCCAAGATAAAGAAACTCTTTCAACCAACAATTTCTTTGGCAAACGATTGATAAAATTTCATCAATAACATGGTGAAATTTTGAAGTAGTCTATATAAAAGCACAAATCTTTGAAAAAGGAGCTATACAA